TAAAATTCAGATGAAAATGCAGGGGACTCAGACTAGCCAAAACAATCTTGGGAGGAAAAAAAGAGGACTCACATGCTCAAATTTCAAAACTTACGACAAAGGCAACAGTAATCAAGATAGTGTGGTACTGGCATTAGAATAGTCACTTATAAATCAATGTAATAGAATTAAGCATCCAGAAGTAAAACCTAACATTTAGTAGAAAAGACAATTCAGTGGTGGAAAGAATAGTCCGTTCAGCAAATGGTACTGGGACAACTGGATGTACTACATGTGGAAGAATCAGCTTGCTTCCTGTCTTAAACCATATTAAAAAAATAACTCAAAATGGATCAAACTCCTAAATGTAAAAGTTAAAATGGTGAAGCTTTTAGAAGAAATTAACTGTCAATCTTTGTGACCTTGGATTAGGTAACAGTTTCTTAGGTATGACACCTAGAGCACAAGCAGCAAAAGAAAAGTGATAAATTAGACTTGATCAAAATTTAAAATGTCTGTGTTTCAAAGGATACCATCAAGAAAATGAAAATGCAAGTGATAGAATGGGAGAAAATATTTGCAAATCATGTATCTGATATTTGGTTAGTATATAAAATATATGAAGAACTCATTTTTTTTTTTTAAGTAGGCTCCATGCCCAGTGTGGAGCCCAAAATGGGGCTTGAAGTCATGACCCTGAGATCAAGACCTGAACTGATGAAACCAGGTTGGATGCCCAACCGACTAAGTCACCCAGATGCCCCAGGATATATAAAGAATTCTTAAAACTCAGAGAAATTACGGCAGTCCAGTTAAAAAACGGGCAAAGAATTTGAAATTATTTCCCGAGAAAACATATGTGAATATACAATAAGCACATGAAAAAGTGCTTAACCTCATTATTTAGTAGGGAGATGCAAATCAAAACCACAATGAGATACCATTTCACATCCATTTAGAATAGTTATAATGAAAAAAGATGGACAATAACAATTATTGGGGAACACTTGGAGAACTGGTGACATCGGAACCCTCATACATTGCTGGTGCAAATGTAAAATGGTACCACCACTTTGGCAGGTCCTCAAAAGTACAGTTACTGTTACTAGGGGGAGAGTCTGCATTGTGTAAATGGAGATCTTGGTTCTTGGATTCCCCATGAAAGATTTACATGAGGGTCCACATTGGATCAAGACAGCCAGAAGGAAAGTAGCAGGCACAAAGCAGTTTATCAAGGATGTTACACTCTTAAGGTGGGAGATTGGGCAGGCTCAGAGGTGGCAGCTATCTTGGGATTGGGGCTATCTTTTCTTTTTATGTTTGCATAGGTTATAGGTCACAGCAGTGTCCAACTGAGGTTGTTTCCAATCATCCAAGGGACTCCTAGGGAGGGGGAGTTTTTGACCCTGCAAGTTTCTTGCGGGAACTGTCAGGGCCATATTTGGCCATGGGGATAAATCAGGGGTGGATTGAAGAGACCACTATGTGAATATAATTAAATAAAGGTTACCCTGGGGGCAGAGATTGAAGAGAAGAGCCCATGTTCTGTACCTGTGGTCCTTGGCCTGTTAGCCCTACCGTGTTGGAAGCTGTGAGACCAGGATGTTAAAAGCTACAAAGGATGTTGTGCCCCAGGCTTTTAACGTGTCACCTCTTTATCACCACCTTGGTCTCCAGCTCATGTCTGACTGCCTACTCTATCATTACCATATGACCCAGCAGTACCATTTCTTCCTGTATACCCAAAAGAAATGAAAACAAACACGTTCACACAAAAACTTGTAGTGTTCATAGCATCATTATCCATAGTAGCCCCTAAATGGAAATAACCCAGATGTCCATCAAATGATGAGTGGATTATAAAAATGTGGTATATCCATGCAATGGCATGATATTTGGCTGTGAAAAGGAGTGTCCTACTGAGACATGCTGCAACATGGGTGAACCTTGAGAACAGCTAAGTGAAAGAAGCCAGACAAAAAGGACTGCATATTGCATGATCCTATGAACATGAAATGTCCAGAATGGGCAAGTCCACAGAGACAGAAAGTAGATCAGTGCTTGCCTGGTGGGGGAGGATGCATTATGACTAGTAATGTGTATAGGGTTTTATTTTGGAGTAATGATAATATTGTGGCATCAGGTGGTGGTAGTTTCCTGGTTTGTGAATATAGTAAAAACCACCAACCAGTACCCTTTAATATGGTGAATTTTATGGTATGTGAATTTTATCTCAAGAAAAGGAAAGTTAATTTTCTTTAATGTCTTAAAAGATCATTATTTGGTGGCCTTTGGGGGCTGCTATGGCATTAACTCATTATTCTGCAAACTGGTAAATTTATGTGTAGTAATCCAGTAACAGGGTCACTAAAGAGCAGATGAGGGGAAACTACTTTCTGAAAGTTGTCACTAATTAATGGTAGAATATCAGCATGTTGCTATACCTACTGAAAAAGGCAATGATGACTGTTGGCTGCTAATGAGGGAACTTGATACTGAAGGGATCAGACTACTACTATTGGAACCCTCAGATCTCTCTCTCTCTCTTTTTAAAATTTTATTTATTTATTTGACACAGAGAGAGAGAGATCACAAGTAGGAGGAGGGAGAGGGAGAGGCAGAGGGAGAGGGGGAAGCAGGCTCCCTGCTGAGCAGAGAGCCCAACGTGGGGCTCGATCCCAGGACCCCGAGACCATGACCTGAGCCAAAGGCAGAGGCTTAACCCACTGAGCCACCCAGGTGCCCCAGATCTCTTCTAATATTACCGAAAGACTGGCTCTTGCCTCCAGCTTATTGAATCAGACAAGGGATTTTCTCTCTGGACGTTCCCATTCACTTCGTAAAGCAGTCCTCTAAGTTTTGATTAAGGGGTGCCTTGGCACTCGTGCTCTTTCATCTCCCAGAACTCCTATTTTAGTTTGACTGCATCTGGCAGCCTTTGTTAGAAAGTTTGGTTTAGGGCAGGATGGAATTTGTGTTTCTGTTTTTCTTTTTTTGTTTTTGTGCGATACCTGAGGGGGGCAGGATTTTTGTATGACTTTACCAAGCCATCTTAAACCTAAGATCTTTGGGCACTAAGTCAGTAGACCAGGTGAGAGATAATCAAGATCTGGACTAGGGGATGATCGAGATCATGGCTCAAGGCCATGTTCACAGTGTAACAGGACAGATTGATTCGTTGTTTAGGGATATTAGGGCATGGTGGTAGGTGCTTCATTAATGTTTGTTGATTGTGGAATGAGCATATGTGAACTTGTCCAATTTTAGGTCTCATTGCAGTATTGTTATGAATTACTCCACTTTGGTATGAATTGTAGTCCATTCCTAGAGTTAACCATGCATGAACTGAGTCAGCCTTGGGCTTCTAGAGGAGAGGTTGCAAACCGGTGGCAGATAGGTCAAACCTAGCCTACAACTATGTTTTATTTGGCCTCCTCAGTATTTGTTGTTGTTTTTTTTTTCCTTTAATTTGTTGCCAACATTTCAAAATAGTGAGATTTCACATAAAAACTGCGTTTTCTGGCGTCTCTTGAAAAGGCAGATCTGGCAACACTGGGCTTACATCCCCTCCTGCGACTCAGCTGAAGCTGAATGGTGACCGAATTAGTCCCAGTCCTGTGCTGCCCCTGCCACTCACTGGTCCTGTGGGCATTTGAGTTTGTGACCCTTGCAGCAGTGGTTGCAGGCAACTATATGTAAATCTTCCATTGTTACTTTTAATTACCTTTCTTCTCATGTTGCTGTTTAAACATATCATATGATTATGAGCCCTATTTCAGTAGAATATAGGTTCTGTGTTGGCCGTAAGTGTGTCTTCTAGATATTCTCCATGATGCTGGTATCGTTCTTACACACTGTAGGAAACTCAATACGTATTTATACATCTCTGCTCTGATTTGGCAAGGTAATCCCGGAGGCCCAATCGGCCATGGCATTCCAGACAGTTTTATAATCCAACAAAACATCTTGACACATTAGTTTGGAAATATGTATCTCCATTATTACATTTTTAAAAAAGGTTTTATTTACTTGCTTATCAGAGAGAGAGAGAGCATGCACAAGCAGGGGAGAGGCAGGCATAGGGAGAAGCAGGCTCCCCTGCTGAGCAAGGATCTTGATGTGGGACTGGATCCCAGGAGCCTGGGATCATGACATGATCTGAAGACAGATACTTAACCAACTGAGTGCCCCAGGCATCATCATCATCATCATCATTATTATTATTATTATTTTGAAGAAATGATTTATGTTTATTAATGATAGTTCCCTCTTATTTTTCTTAACCAGTTGTCTCAGATGACTATAGGGCTAAAATTCATTAAATTACTACATTGTGGAGTTAATAAACAACATTTTGGATATTGAATATTTTCTTGGCTGTATTAATTAATGTGGATTGGGTAAGGTCTTATAAATATTTCCCATAGGTAAATGATTATAGAAAATAAGTAGAGCTGAGCTCTTTCGATATCAAGAGATATTCCTTGTCAGAAACAATACAGGAAAATGAATTAAAAAAATAAGGTTGGGGCGCCTGGGTGGCTCAGTGGGTTAAGCCGCTGCCTTCGGCTCAGGTCATGATCCCAGGGTCCTGGGATCGAGTCCCACATCGGGCTCTCCGCTCAGCAGGGAGCCTGCTTCCCTTCCTCTCTCTCTGCCTGCCTCTCTGCCTACTTGTGATCTCTGTCTGTCAAATAAATAAATAAAATCTTTAAAAAAAAATAAGGTTATTTGATGACTCAAGGACAAAATAATAAAATAGTTGGTGGTAATGTTAGAAGTACAGGAAAGAGCTGTGTTGTGTGCATGTGGTTGGGTTACAGGGCTTAGTGTAAGAGGAAGTCATTGAGTCAGTTACTATACAGTTTTTGAAAATTATTTCATGAACACAAACCATATTTGCTTTAGCCCCACATTAGCCAATTGGGTAAGGACTTTGAATGTCAAGTTTGAACATTGTAAATGTTGGTTTCATGCCATGTATATTTCTTAACCCTTATTGTGCATTATTTTTACATTAGGTGAGAAATTCATCCACACTTCTTTTTAGTACCTTGATCACAAGAATATTTGGAGTTAAAAGGGGAAAGGATGAACTTTCCAAAAAAAATAGGTAAGCTTCATCTAATGCTGACTTTACTTTTTACAAAATACTGTCCTGGCCAAAAATAATTTTTGGAAATTTGCTTACTTTTATGGATTCATCTAGAGCATAAAACTATTAAAATGCTATGGTAAATTAACCTAGGCTGCCAAATTCCAAGTTCTTGGGCAAAAATACATACTGTTTAAATAAGTGGACCTTTCAAAGCAACAAAAATACAGCAAGGTAGCAAGGGCTGAAATGTTGAGCTTGTTTCTCAGTGCAATAGCTGAAGTTTTTTTCTTTCTTTGCATTTTCAGGTATTCCTGAAATGTCTTAAACTGCTTTTTCTTGATGTGCTAACCAAGTACTAGCTTGTGTAGTATCTTTGCTTTTTTCTGTAGCCAAGGGGAGCAGTTACAGATAGATGCTGGCCACATGGAATAACCAAAGTTTTTTTTTTACTTTTAGGTCTTCAGTATTATGGTTTTTCTTTAAGATGTTTTCTTTAAGATGTTTTTAAGGTTTTTTTTTTTTTTTTAATGTCTGAAAGGAGACTTATTGAAATACTTTAATGATGCGTCATTTTTAGGTCTAAAGCAAAAGTTCCTTTTGTTGGTCTTTAAAGAAGAGAAGTTTTGAATAGTTGTTTCTTCAGTACTTGGGAAGATTTGATGGTAGTCTAGTGGCTTGCAAAAGTTGACACTAGATGTCACTGTTGTTGCATGTTTACTTACTTTCTTTACTTCATTTAGGATCCAAATAGGCCCCGTACTTTCTCTTAATGATCTGTAGATATTCCTCTCCTACCTAAAAAGGCTGATAATCACACTTTTTAATTTAGGTTTTAAGCTGTTATTTGTTAAAATATTTTCTTGTGATGAGGTGAGTTTTAGGAATTAGAAAATGTCATTAAATATATTTTATGATGCACGGTTGATAATTCTAATGAAACTTACTGATAGTTCTTAATTGTCATTTAAATTGCTACTTATCACCCTATGAAATTTAACAAATATTTAAAAAGAAACCAACGGCTATAAGGATGAATTCCCTGAGTATATTCAGGAAATACTGAAGAGTTGTTGTTGTTGTTGTTTTAATCAAGTTGTATTTTTTTTTTTAAAGATTTTATTTATTTATTTGACAGCCAAAGATCGATCACAAGTAGGCAGAGAGGCAGGCAGGGAGAGAGGAGGAAGCAGGCTCCCTGCCAAGCAGAGAGCCGGATCCCAGGACCCTGGGATCATGACCTGAGCCGAAGGCAAAGGCTTTAACCCACTGATCCACCCAGGTGCCCCTCAAGTTGTATTTTTAAAATAATGCTAACATTATTCCTTTGAAAGGATGATCACGATTTTTACCATTTAGCCAGTTTCTAAAGAAGTTCTTCCTCTCAGTAGTTTGAAATCACTAATATTTGTTTCTCCTTAGCTTTCTTTATTTTGTTAATAATTCTAGAAAGTATTAAGGTTTAAAACAGTTTGGTCATGTTATAAGGCCATGGTAAATTATGGCATCAATAAAGTATGAGATAATTAACAGTAAAATTATTGTTTAAAACTGAACGTGACAGTGAAGAAATGCTTTTTTCCCTTTTACTTTTTAGAAAGTGAGTGAATCTCAGATGTGTATACAGATTTTACTATGTATAGGAGAAAATCATCAGATACATTCCATTTAGGTTACATCTGAAGGAGGGTAGAAGGTTAACGCAATGAAACCACACAGCTTTAATCGTTTTGCCAAAGGCATGCTGATGGGAGCTGCCATTATGAATTCATTCTTCTTAGATGGGGAAAGTTACAAAATATGTAACTTTCCTAGAAAGAGGGAAATGGAATATTCATATAATTGTTTTGAGTAAAGTTGAAAGGCGAAATGAAGGAATGAAGAAATTACTATTTTTTTTTAATGTGATGAACATGCTTGGTAAGAAAGAGCCTTTATTAATATGAAGATTGGTCTTTTTCATTAAGTATACAAGGCTTCTGTTCTCTGTTTAGTTCTTAAAGAGTATGGAAGTTTCCTGGAAGTATCCACTCTTTTTGCTCTTCAAAACCTTTAGTGTCTTAAATTAACTGTTATTTGTAGTGGTTATTCTATTCATAGTTTCTTTAATTATGTCACTTTTTAAAAAATGTTTATAGCCCTGTTCCTTACAATATTAACTCCCTGAGGGCAGAAACTTTGCCATCTATTCTGTGATATAAAATGGGTATGTTAAGAATACTAGTAATAGGGCACCTGGGTGGCTCAGTGGGTTAAGCCGCTGCCTTCGGCTCAGGTCATGATCTCAGGGTTCTGGGATCGAGTCCCACATCGGGCTCTCTGCTCAGCAGGGATCCTGCTTCCCTCTCTCTCTCTCTGCCTGCCTCTCTGTCTACTTGTGATCTCTCTCTGTCAAATAAATAAATAAAAATCTTTAAAAAAAAAAAAAGAATACTAGTAATAATGAGGTCTTGTTGATGGTTTACTCAACTATCGAATAACTATGCTCAGCTGATGAGACGCCACAGGCCAGTTAAGTCTACTTTCACAGCCACAGATTATTCTGCACACGGTTTCGCAAATGTATGCTCTTGGTCAGAAAGGAACTGGTCATAAAAAGAACATCTGCCTTTCCCATCTAGTGAGAAAAAAATGTCTATCTTGGAGTAAACAGACTTGGTTTCTAGGCATTTTGTTGCCGCTAGAGATGACCTTAATAGACTCCCTATCCTCTTTGTACTTCAATATCTCCATCTATGTAACAGGAATAATAAGATCTGTGCTCTGTACTCGTAGGGCTGTGGTGGGGATAAAACAAATGATTAACCGTTCTTTTTTTTTTTTTTTTTTTTTAATGTTGGAAGTTGTAGTCCTGGGTGGCTCAGTCAGTTAGGCGTCTGACTCTTGGTTTCAGTTCAGGTCATGATCTCAGGGTCCTGAGATCCAGCCCCAAGTGGGGCTCTGAGCTCAGCACAGAATCTGCTTGTCCCTGTCCCTCTGCTCCTCCCCTGCCTCACACTTGCTTTCTCTCAAATAAATAAATAAAATGTTAAAAAATTTAAAAAATAAAATGTTGGAAGTCCTACACAATTAGAGACGAGTTTACTTTTTTTCTGTTACCACTTCTATTGAAGTGCTCATCCCATCTTAGAATTACTCTGCAATTTTTGAGGACAGAGTCAGTATCTTATCCATTTGTATACCTGGTACCTACCATATGTGTGGCATAAAATAGGCACACAAAAATAGTTGCTTAAAGAGCAAGTAAATTTTGTTACTAGAGGAGAGATAAGAAACCTGGTTTCTATTCCTTGCCTTTGTTGCCATATAGACATGATTACCAACTGAGACAAATTAGTTAATCTCTCTGGGCCTTGGTTTTCTCCAAGATAAGAGATTTGGACCATCCTGGAGGTCTCTTATTTTTATAAAATACTAAGCTACGTCTTTATGTAATTGTTACTAAAATTGTGGGTTTAGTGAACTGCTCTATTCCCAGTTCCTCAGACCTTACCTGCCTTGTAGTAGGGACAAGGAGCCCTGGTAATGACTGGACTATAGAGCTCTTTAGTCTTGTTCTAGATGTGTTCCTTGGATTATGAAGAATGAGAAAACTTAAGTTTCACTTGGTTTTTTGAAAATAATGTTACAGCATTTTAATTGGCTAAGTCTCTTTTCCTTTCTATTTATTTCCCCCTGACTGACTTGGCCTGACAGAATGAATCTTTGATTCTACGCAGAAGCAGAACCTGCACAGCTCTGTGATCTGGGCAGTGTGCTAGGCTTTCCAAAATGGCCTCCATCTGCAGTGTCATGAGTGGCCGCCCCTCGATAGTTCCTCGTTCCTTAGAGGGCAGGAGCTAAACCAATGTGATCATTAACTCTAGGTCTTTCTCTTTAGCCTCTGCAGGAATTACCTTCAACTACTCTAGTTTCAGGTAAATGACAAATGTCAATATATAGCAGTCTGAAAACTTTATTTTAGATTTTGCCAAAGCTTCATTTTGGTCCTCAGTGTAGACAGTATTCTGTAGCTCTTGCTTTCTCTCTGTATTGTATTTTATTTTTATCTATCTATTTGTTTTTTCATTTATTTGAGAGGGAAAGAGAGAGAGTGTGTGTGCGCGCATGCGTGTGAGTGGGGGAAGGGGCAGAGGGAGAGAGAGATTCTTAAGCGGGTTCCATGCCCAGCACAGAGCCCAGCACAGTGCTCCATCTCAGGACACTGAGTGCATGACCTAGGCCAAATTTAAGAGTCAGACACTTAACCAGTTGAGCCACCCAGGTGCCCCTCTCTCTTCATTTTAAATCAGTTAGTCAATGAGAATTTGTAAGCATGTGTCGTGAACTCATTACTGACACAGTAGAGGAGTACATGAGACGTATAACACTTGGACCTCGCCTAAGGAACTTACGTTTTAGCTAAAGGAACAAAAATTGCTATTTGCAAAAGATACGAGTAGAAGACAAGTTGTAGTAAGTGGCTGCACAGTGTGACATGAGTACTAGATGCACTAGAAAATCATTAGTGGGAGAGCTGCATGGAATATTCGGGGGAAGTAGTGTTCCTTATAAAGCTTTGGGAATGAGTGGATTTGGGGTACATGGAAACAGGTAGGTTGAAAGATGGAACAATAGAATAATCTTGTTTTTTGTGTTGTTATAATAGTATCTATTCTGTCTTGTTAGAGAAAGCTCATATTTAAATTGATAGCTTGGGATGGTTTAGCACAGTCTCAGAAAAATATGCTTATAAAAGCCGGTCCAAGTAAAATAATTTCTAATGACTGTGTTAAGAGATGTTGAATTGTATTTATTTCACTTTCCAGGTTGTAAACTAGAGACAATTATTTTAGTTATTTCTCCTAACATCTTAGTTCTATAGGTCTGGAAGGATCCTCCGAGGGGCATCTGATCTGGTCTAGCCTCTGCTTATAGATGGAGTTTGAAGCAGTTTCCAGACAAACTGGCTTCTTTCCTGTTCTTCATGTTTTCTAGGAAAAGAGATTCCACAAGTTTCTGTGGTTACCCACTCCATT